CTCTCTCTCCCTCTCCCTCTCTCTCCCTCTCTCTCACTCCCTCACTCTCTCACTCTCTCTCTCCCTCTATAACATTTCATTTTCTGATGTCAAGCAACACTTGCTCTTGGGGGGAAACATAGAGGACACAGACATATGCCTCTTTTCTGTCACCAGAAACCAACCATCACGTGTGTCACTTGGTTCTGCATCGAGATTCCTGAGCTTAGCAGGAAGGCTGCTCCTCAGCCCCTGCGTGTGCTTGGCATCAGGACTTGCAGGCAGCCACCCGGGATTGTTCCSAGTCACCAGGAGTGGGTGCTCCTGGGCACCGGGCAGGTGGGGCTCATGGAAGGACCCCGTGATGGGGCGGGGCAGCCAATCAAGGGGCTCAGAAGAGTCTGAGTCCCCATCCAGCCAGAAGTGTTGATGCTTCTTACAAYCCAGCCAGTGCGCCGGCCCTGGCTCCCCGTCACTGCTCCCTCCCCATCGTGGCACAGCCCCTGCCTGCCAGGCAAGTCCTCACAGGGGGACACTCACCTGTGAGACAGGAGTGTGGGGCGCAGGGAGCCGCCAGCCTCAGAAAGCTGCAGTGGCTGCTTCCTGGGCTTCCGACAGAAGGACCGTCCTGCCACCTCCAGCCCTGGCAACTGTCCAGGCCTGGCTCCCTGGCTGGGCGGCTCGAAACACTGCCCARCACAGAACCCAGGAGTCCCTGGATCAGGGCTGAGCTTCCCACCAGCAGAAGGCTAGAGCTGCACTCAGGCAAGGACTGCAGGTCCAGCCTGGACCTCAGCTGGGGGACCTCGGTCAGCAGCATGATCATCGCCAGCTCACGCTCTTGTCTGTGTGGACAGTTTGAGTGAGGGGACAACCTCCCCCCAGCTCTGCATTGTGGCCTCCTCCAGGGCCATTTTCCCAGCACTGCCCCTTGAACGCTCTCCAGGGCCTCCCCACAGGGGGTTTTATTTTATTTACTTATTTTTTGTCCAGTTTTCCTAGTTCTCCTTGGGAGGAAGATTGATGAAAACATTCTTCACCTTTGCTAAACACAAAATTTTCCAGATTCTTTTTAAATACCCAGTGTCATTGGTGAAACTCTATTGATGATTAACTATATATCAATTAATAATAATTAGGTTTGCACACAACTGCTCGTGTGAAATACAGCAGGTCTGTTTGTGGATTTTTCTTAGGACTTCAAAACATGCAGTTCTCTGGTGTTTTCCCCAGCAGACACAGAGAGGAGTGCCAAAGGAATGAGCAGATGTCCCTTGGTCTGTAACACCCTGGGAGGGAACGAGCCTTGTGCTCTCCACCAGCCCCCGCCCCCCGCAGCCTGCAGTCTGTTTTCTGTCTTAGGAACACCAAGCTGCTCACTTCAGTCCCCTGGTGACCGTCCACTGCTGGCTTCCCTGGGATCTTAGGATGGAGTGACAGCAGGGACCCAGCCCCCCTGGCCCCAGATGCCCTCCCCGTCCCTGTTCCTATCATGCAGGACTCTCTCTTCCCAGGGTGTTAGCCCCTCTATGCAGGGTCCCCCATCCCTCGGTCCCTCAGCGAGGCCTTGGCTGTGCCCTCTGTAGTCCACCTTGTCACCCAGCTGTCCTGCGTCTGCAGTGGTCCCTGCATACAGTYTCCTCTCTGCCACGCACTTGCCACAATTTGCATCATGTGTCTCTTTACCTGTGGGTCTGGTCCTCCCACACCAGCCTGTAAGGGACAGGGACAGTGTCTGTCTGCTGCCCAGAGCACAAGGCCCTACATGTGGCAGGTGCACTTCGGTGACGGCGTGAATGTCCCCATACAGTGAAATAGTGCTCAGCCTCAAAAGGAAGGGACCTCGGGGGGTGGTGAAGGAAGCCAGAGGCCAAAGGTCACATGTGACATAGCTCCTTGTCCAAGTCTCCAGGAGGATGACCCCAGAGAGCAGAAGCCAGAGGGCTGGGGAGGGACGACAGGGAGTGAGTGCTCAAGGTGCCGAGCTCTCTGAGGCCACGGGAAATGTCCTGAGACCAGACCCTGTGAAGTCACACGACCCCGCGGGGACACAGAGACCACGCAACTGTACTTTAAAGGACAAGCGTCGTGTGTGTGGACCACACCTCAGTGCAGCTGTGACTTGGTGATGGAGGAGCAGCTGCCCAGCACCCGGAAGMCCCTGGCGCTGGACGCTCCCTTACCACCTCCACACCGCCCTCTGCCCACTGAGTCGGTCACCTGCAAACACACGTCCCCTTCCTGTGCTGGACCTGCTCTCCTCACAGGCCACTGTGGAGTGTTTCCCTCAGTAAACCTGGAAGCTGAGCAGGCTCCTGGCAGGACACCTGGGGCCGCCGGCCACCTGAGCGTGTCCCACCCTGCAGGGCTTGGAGAGGCGCTCCTGTGCAGGCCTTGGGACCCTGTACTGAGGGGGAGATGTCGGGGCACCCACTGCGGGAGCCTCGCCCGGCTCAGGAGAACCCCTCACAGCAGGGATGGGCTCACCTTCAGGGCCACCTGGGCGCCCTGGCAGGCGACAGGCACCAGCCACACCCGTTGCCCTGAGCGTCCTGGGGTGAATGGCGAGGTCCCCCCGGTGTGTGGCGGGGACAGAGCTGGTGCAGACCCCACCTGAGCTGCTCTCCCCCCTCACAGGCACCTACGTGATGACAGTCACAGCCAATGACGCGGACGACAGCACCACGGCCAACGGCATGGTGCGGTACCGGATTGTGACCCAGACCCCTCAGAGCCCATCCCAGAACATGTTCACCATCAACAGCGAGACAGGGGACATCGTGACGGTGGCAGCAGGCCTGGACCGAGAGGTGAGACGGGCTGTGGGGCCGGGCGGGGCCCTCCAGGGTGCCGAGGACTGTCTCCTGCGTGGGCAGGGAGAGGGGCAGCAGAGGGGACCTGCAGCTGCCGTGGACCAGCCCCCGAGCTGGCACCGTGACCGGTCCCCAGGGAGGCCCTGCTGTGCAGGCGGCAGAGACTGGTGGCCACTCAAGAGAAGCCCAAGAGAACCTGGTGGTTCTCAGGGTCCAGCCAGCCCTGGACCCGGGATGTGCCGTGCCACGGGTCAGCTCCACCCTGCTCACCAGTGCCCTCTGCAACCTGGACAACTCCTCCTGGCCCTGCCCTGAGGGACATGAAGTGCTTCTCTGGGAAATCCTGAGTTTTACTGGGTGGCGCACCAGGGTGGCGTGGAAGGCAACTCTGCAGCCTGTGGCTTGGTGGGAAGTGAGGTGACCACAGGCACATGAGCGGAACTGTGGGCCCAGTCACGGGTCCTCCGGGCTCTGGGGGTGGGAGTGGGCCTTGTGAGGCAGGCARGGCAGGGCTGGCACGGAGGGCACACAGGGCCTGTCTGCAGGATTGAGGTGTTCCCGCAGCGACGTTGGTGGAACTGGGCAATGGAGGGCCAGAGGCCCARGGGTTCAGGGCCATGACCAGCACCGTCCACCCTAACTAGGGGACCCATCCAGGCCCTGCCACCCTCCCCAGGGGCGGAGAACACGCGCCTTCTTGGCCTGGATAAGCCCCCGCGGTTGAGGCTGGCCCTGGCTCTTCTGCTGTCCTTCAGCTCAGGAGAGTCCCAAAGGCCTGAGAGCAACACAGTGTGGGGAGGGCCATGGGCAAGGTCCACCCAAGGTCAGCCAACCAGACAGACCCTCTAGATGGCCGCTCAGGGTCCCCACCTGCCCTGGGTGGGGCCAGGCCCCATGGCCACSGGAGCAGCCAGGAGCCACGGGTGATTCTGCAGGTTGTGGCCACCAGACACCTCCATACCCATAACCGCAGCGTGGCACGTGCACACCTCTCACATACAGGGGCCCAGGAGCCATGGAGCCCGGCTGTCCTGGAGAAGGGGCAGGGGAGCACAGTGGGTGTCAGGCCGTGGACACTGCTCCCCGGGTGGCCCTGGCGGAAGGAGCTCTGCCTGGAACTGCCAGCATCCACAGGCTGTGCGCTCCTGGTCCACAAGGAGGGAAGCACAGAGATGGGGAGGGAGCCTAGGGACGTGAGGGGAGGTGGATGCTGCCTCCACTCCCAGGCCCCTGGTCAGCAGCTGGTGCAGCAGGTGGCAGTGACCCCAGCTGGGCCTGGCCACCTGCAGCCCACATGGGTGGGAGGTAGAGCCTGAGGGACTGCAGGGCTTCCTGCTCCAAGGGCCCCTGCCTGAGGTAGAGACCCAGGCAGAGGCCAATGCCCATCGGTTCTTCTCCTTGTTCAGCCTGTTGGTGGAGGCAAGGGGTGGTGTCCAGTGGACGTGGAGCTGGTGGACAGTGTCTGTCCTCGCATTGCTCCCTGTAGTGGCTGGGATAGGCGAGAGGGGGTGGGGAGGAGACACGCGCTGCAGGGGTGCTGGGCGCGGGGTGCTGGGCTGCTCAGGGCCCTGGTGGGGAGGCCACCAGAGAGCAGAGCTAAAGCTAAGGGAGGGACAGGAGGGTGACTCCAAGACACGAGCTCCCAGGTGCCCGCTGTCAGGCCTGGGAGGAATCAGGGCTCTGTGGGGGGCCCTTGGGCTTCCTCGGCTGGCCAGGCCCCCACAGGAAGGAGCCCCTTGTCCTGGGTACAGGTGGCCCTGTGGGCAGATCCACACCATCCTGAGGCTCAGCCCCTCAGCCTGGCCAGCAGGGACCTCCCACCCACCAACCAGGCCCCAGCAAGGGCAGGCGGGTGCAGCTGCTGGCGTCCTCCCAGGCAGAGGTCGAGGGGAGGCCGGGCCCGCCCTRCTCTCCAGGATCCGCTGGTCCCCAGCCTGTGCTGTGTCTGCTGCTGTCTGTCACGGGGCTTGAGAGCAGCCTGCAAAATGTTCCAAGTGGAAATGCTCATTTAAAAGCCAGTGGAGGTGAGGATAACAGGCAGCTCTATGGTGGGAGGGAGGCTAGGAGGCGTCCTCACAGCGCTCCTGCCCCAGAGCAGCAGAGCTCAGTGGAGGCTCAGGCCCGCTCCCGGGGGAGCTGTGTGCATGGGAGCGGTGGCTGCTCCTCCAGGGCTTGCGGGACACAAGTCATGACTCGCCACCTCTGCTTTGCTCTCTGGCTTCAGTGCTGACTTTCAACCCAGGGAAACTTCAGGGCCSCTCCCGTTTCTCCCACGGCCTCCATCTGGGCTGGAAAAACCGAATCAGGTTGATGAGCCAAAGCCCAGGCTCCACTAGGGGGCGCTGTGGGGTGGGGAGCAGAGCCACTGTCCTCAGGCAGGACGGGGCGTCAGGGGTGGGACCTCTGTTCAGTGCCTGGGGTACGCTTGTGTTAATGTGACCAGGAGGACCCAGCCTTCCACAGAGTCACCGGATGCAAGGCAGGGCCACAGTGGGCAGCTATAGGGCAGTCACAGGCGGGACTTCAAGGCACAGGGGCTGGGAGAGGGAGGCACATGGCCACACCAGGGAGTTCAACAGGTCCCCGCCCACAGGAGCTCAGGGCACAGCCCGGACCTCCACCTGTGGCCACAGGACCAGGACCTGGCCAGGGCCCAACCCTGACCTCCCAGCAGTGCCCACAGGACCAGGACCTGGCAGGGCCCAACCCTGACCTCCACCTGTGCCCACAGGACCAGGACCTGGCAGGGCCTCCATTCCCCCATTCTTCCCTCTGCTAAGTGAGGCTGAGCCAGGAAAGCTGTGCTGCCCCGGCCACAACAGGACACCTCTCCTGGGCACCTCAGCCTCCTAGGGAGYGAGGTGGGGGCCCAGGGTGGTCAGGGGTGTCAGCCCTGAGCCAGCCAGCACAGAGTGAGACCACCCGAGGAGCCATGGGACTGTGGGGCTGTGACCGTGGAGTTTGTGAGCTTGCCGGAGGCGTCTGAAGCTAGTGGCCCATCATGGGGGGAAAGGGAGCTCTCCCGGGGGATGGGGAGAGGCGCACGCCCACCTCTCCTCCAGTTTTATCGGGGCCYCAGGGAAGTTTCCACAGACTCTCGCCAGGGCCACCTCGTGACTCTTGACTGACAGCAGGATCGCCTCTGACTTCCAAGTCCCCACGGTGCTGCTGTCACCGTGGAGGGGAGCTCTATACCAGGGTGACATGCTCAGGACCCGGTCAACCCGGGGTCGCCTGTTCTAACGGGATCTTGTTCCCACAGATTCTGTCACTGCGGCTCTGCTTCTAATTATCCCGTCTCCCTGAGCCCTGGGATCTGGTCTGTGTAAAGGTCCCTTCAGGGGACGYGTGTCCTTCCTAACAGCAGGGAGGCGCTCGGGCTGCTGGTCCTGCAGAGGGCTTCCGCTGCAGGAATGTGGTGATGCTTTGGGTGTGAACCAGGAAGCATGTGGGGTCGGCCTGGGGGCCCAATTTGTAGAACCATCCCTTAACCTCGCGTTCCCACTGCCCGTGCCTGTCTGCTGCCTGCCTCCCCCAGCGCACAGGAGCAGGGGTGACACAGAGCAGCCCACCACAGGAGTGTGTATTGAGCACCGACTGTGTGCCACCCTGCACTGCTAACCTGTGCTGGACAGACAGACCTGGCACTGCCCTGGGACGGCGCTCTAGGTTGGGCGGCAGAGCACGAAAGMCAGAGAACTGCAAGCCCGTCAGGGGAGGCCTACACAGGGCCCAGGGCGGACAGCGCAGCGTAGCCATGACTTCTACGCCTGGTCCTGGGGTCCTGGGCTCAGTAAGGGCCATCTGAGGCCATGACTGTCCCCTTCCCCCTGCAGTAAAAGTAAGACCTCCAGGGTCATGACAGCCGAGACAGCCTGGCCCTCCCCTGGCTGYGGGTCCCCACGGGCCCCCACTGTCCCTCTCAAATAGGCCCAGGAGGCCAGCGTCTGAGCTGCTCCCTCCGTGGGCACCTGGAGATTGCYTTGGGGACTGAGGTGGCCCCAGATGGCCCCAGGATCCTCGTGACCCACAAGGTCCCTCCTGCACCTCCTTGTGGACCTCCACGCATTCTCTGGGCCTTGCTGGCTCTGGGCCGCCCCTGGAGAAGCGGCCCCTGTGCTGGGGACAGAGGCTCATGCTCATCCAGCAAGGCCCGGCTGTCAGCGAAGCCACAGGACATGTCACTTGAGCTGCTCCCCCTGGCGGGGGGGAAGGCTGACCTGGCACAGCCACAGGACAGCAGTGCTGCCAGGCCCTGCTCCTTCCTCCCCGTCCCCCGCCTCCTCCCTGGGCCTTCCTCCCCCCTTTCCCATGCCCCTCCTCCATCCCTTCCTCTTCCTCTCTCCTTCCCCACCCTCCTCTTCCTCCCCAGCCCTCCTCCTGCTCCCCTCCCCCCTCCCCTAGCCTTCCCTTCTGCCCTAGCCCACCCTCCTGTGCCCACCCTCCTGCTCCTCCCCCGGCCTCCCCGCCCCCCTCCCCCATCCCTCCCCTCCTGCCTCTCCCCCCCTTATTCACTGTCCCCTCCTGTCCTCCCCCACCACATGGACCCTCTGCCCTACGGTGGTTCTTGGCTCCAGTGGAAGCAAGGGGAGTGGCTGCGGGAGCCCTGGGGTGACCAGGCCCAGTGTCCTTCCCTGTGGGGCTGGTGCTTCCTTGAGCTCCCTGCTCTCCCCGGCTGACCGGAACAGGAGCTCCTGTCTGGGGCAAGGTCGCCTGCGATGGACCGGGGCTTGGGAAACCAGTGGCCAGCAAAACGGCAACCGGGTCAAGATGACCCATCTCCAGGCACGTGCAGGGGGTCCCCTACCGTCCTGCTGCTGCAGACCCCAGGGGCTCTCGCAACTCAGGCCTGAACTTTGGCCCAAAGGAGACATGACCATCTTCCTCGTGGGGTCCWGGTCCTGCCTCTGCTGCAGGACACCCCACAGGGTTGTGTTGGACGCGACAAACCTGGTTCCCCCCCGAGGACACCCGCAACCCAGCGAGCGGCCTCTGCA